GACCTTACCTTCCATTCTCCTTCATCCATTCATTCTATGAGCATGCAATGACTGGATTATGATAAGCCACTTAAAATTGTTCTACCTGCAAAATAATAAATGCAGATATCCCATTCTCACACCACAACCTCCTGTATTTCTATCCACTCCTAATCACCAGTTCTTTTACTTCACTGGGACTTCCAGTCTGTCGATCCCACTACCTTCTACCTATTTTTCAGGCCCTTTCTATTTTGACTTCCCTTCCTACCTAGTTTCAACTCCATCTTCCATCCCTGCAAACATTCTTGTCTTTAACAGCTGAAATTCTCATGGCCCACAGTAGCATGAGTCAGTTCAGGCAATGACTTTGAGTGATGGATGTGTGATAGATGCAATGGTGAAATGAAGAGTATAATGAGAGATAGAGTCTAATTAAAGAAAGACTACCTAATGAGATGCAGGGAGAACATGAGATGTGGAATGTGAGGTATGAAATGAAATACAGTAGATGGGGTGTACTTTCCTGACAAAACTCCAGGCCTGGATTGTCCTTAAATTTCCCTTTTTAGAATTTCATAACTACACTCAGGATGCAGGGGAAAAACTGCAAACTTTGGGAGATAAATACAAGTTCATGCTGGCAAATTTCAACGAAAATATTTAGAAGTGAATGGTAAGAAATGCTGTATATCAAAACTTGTGGCATGCTGCAAAAGGCAGCAAAAAATAGTAACTTCACAGTGGAGAAAGCTGTTGACACTGCCTCGGTCAGGTGAACAAGGTCAACATTAACAGTGGTAATTCATGTTGATAGTATGTACCTAGATATGACATGACAAAAATAGTACTTTACCTCTATGATCTTCCTCCCCAAAGATCCATATCCCCCATTTAACGATGATAAAAATATCAAACAATCCTAACTGAGGGACTTCTACAAAAAACTGACCAGTATTCCTTGAAACTGTCAAGGAAATCAAAACCAAGGTGATTGTGAGAAATTGTCGTAAGCATGAGGAACCTAAAGAGACATGACGATGAAATGTAATGT